GCCTCTTTCTTGACTTGAGTTTAATATACAAATGAATAAAGACATTAAAGAAATGGTATCATATTTATGAATGATGGAAAAGCTAAGATCATTAAAATGATAGCTATCTTATGAAATGTCTCTTGTGGAATAAGAATAAACCAGAAAACTAAGATAAAGTTTGATAAGATTAATGTAATGTGAATTTTGGTTTTAAAAATTAGTAGCAATTAGAATGGGTAAGAGACATGATAGTAAGTTGCCAGGCTACAGCGGTCTCAGGTTGTTTTTAAAAGTATTAGTTCTCTCCAGACTGCAAAAACTGTAGTGCTCTGCATCTTAAGCTGGTCTTAATATTTGCTATTTTGTCTCTCTACAAATGAAATTTAGAGGAATGGCAGGATGATAATAACTAGGTTTTATGAGGTGCATCATTTTCCATGCTTATAATAAGAGCTCTTTAGGTATAGTTATTTAACTAAAGGCCAAATTTGTGAACTGGTGACCTTGCTGTTAGTTGCTATCCTTTATTAGCTAGTCACTGTGAATTATGCTAAAAATAGCATTTTGCTCAATCATTTTGTATATTGATACTCATATATTTGCATCTTGTGCTTTTGGGATATCTGCTAAATAATTGGCAGTTGTACAGAAGAAATTTGAGTCAAGACACTTTTTAAAAGTCTTAATCTAAACTAGTGATTATCTAAGTTGGATAATAGCTAGATTTGATTATTATTGCTGTTATTACTTTTGAAAGCAGGTTCATGGAGATATGAGTGATATTCCCAAGGGCAAGACGTTGGTTAAGGACAAATTCAGACTTTCTCATTTATAACTGCCCATCCTAGGGCTGGCTAAGAGTGCTGTCTAGATCCATTCCCTCAGGACCATTTAGCAGGGTTTAATTAGGTGCACACTCTTGGGATATGCAGAGATAGTTCAAAGACCTCAAATCATTAGAAGCTCGTTAGTCTTCAAAGACATTTTCTATCTATTAGTTTGACAAGAACCTGCCCTTATATATGCATATGGTGTTATATTTAGTTTTGTAGATTGTTTTGTGTCCATGATGCATTTTTCAATCTGGCATATAATGAAGAAAATTATATGAGAGGAACACATTTATTAAGGTAGGTGAGATATGACAGTGAGCAAATACAGGAATAGGAATAGGACAAGGTGAATAAGCATACTAATGAGGATGTTTAAATTGAACTACTTCTTGTAATACCCTAACTCTTCCAGTAAAATTTAATTTGGTTTTAACTAGGTAAAAAGCAAACAAACAAAAAACCCAAAAGATCATTAAATAAGTATAAAATACTAGAATATATGATACTTATTATTGCTAAATATCTCAGTGGTAACCCAGAATCCTGGATGTTATATGGTGTTTTTATGATTTGATATATAATGACTCCTTGAAAATCATGTCTGGTGTCTTATGTCTATCATTGAAAATATTGTTAAAAAGTAGGATTTGGGGGCTGGAGAGATGGCTCAGAGGTTAAGAGCACTGGCTGCTCTTCCAGAGGTCCTGAGTTCAATTCCCAGCACCCACATGGTGGCTCACAACCATCTGTAATGATATCTGGGTGCCCTCTTCCGGCCTGCAGGGATACATGCTGTATACATAATAAATAAATCTTTAAAAAAAAAAGTAGGATTTGGTTTGGAAATAAATTATCCTGGTATAATATTAAAATAATATAGAAATATGATTAGGAAATATAAATTCAAAAACACAATTTTGCCACTATATATTGAAATTTAATCATAACATTAAAAGAATATCAATTTGAAGTCATCATTTTATTCTATTTAAAACATTTTATAGACTTATTTATTTTGCTTATGTATTTTCTATGTTTGAGTGCTTTAGGTACTTGGAATTTAATCCAGGGCCTGGTAAATGACTGGTGTATATTCTTACAGAACCATACCTCCAGCTCCTACTTATTATGCTTCAAGTCACTAGACCTGGCTGCATTATTGCAACTTTCCCTCCAATGCGTGCACCTCCTTTCATCACCTGCTTTTAAAAACTCCCCTGACTGCCTTTCCTGACCCATGTGCTTTGTGTTACTCACACTCCTGCCTGAGGTAGAATTCCAAGAAAAAGCATTTTTAAAATTATCTTTATCATGACACTCTATGGAAGAGTTAGAAAATAAAATAAGATGAGATTGAGAGGGAGGATGTGTATGATTCAAGAGAAAAATAATTGCCTTGTGCTTGTCTGAGTACTCACTACATAGCCCACCCTGGCCTAGAACTCACCATCATCCTGGATTAGCCTTCTATGTACTGGGAATGCAGGCATGTGCTACTCGCTGGGCTTGATTGTCTTTTGAAAAAGTTTCCAGAGGCAGTGAATGCTGTATGCTTTGGTGTGAAATGAGGTGGCCTATGTGACACTGGCCAGGACACCTGTGAAGTACTTAGGGAAGGGGAGCTGGGAAGAGGACATGGGTGCAGTGGGAATCTTATACTGTGCCTGACAAAGAGCTTCATCAGATAGTAGATACCAGTGGGGCACTGAATAGAAGGAAAACATGCTCATGGCTTTAAGCATTTGTTCTCCTTTGAAGAAGTCAGGCTTATCCAGATGGATCATACCCAGAAAACACTTCAGTGTTACTGTTCTTCCTCTTGTTCACCTTTCTGGGAAGGAAGTGCTATGTTCTTTGGAGAAAGCAGCAGGGCCTGGCACTAGAAAGCAGCCCGACATAGGAGCCAGGAGCCATAAACTTGTCATTTGGGAAGCATTCAAAAATGCACTGTTTATGGTTATTAACCTGAGGCTCCTGGACTGCTAAGGCAGTGCTTCTTCGGGTTTTTGGATCCCTTTGTCTTAAAAATTATTGAGGACACTTGAGAGCTTTGGTTTATGTGGGTCAATATTTACTATTTAGAAATGAAGCAGAAAAGTTTAAAGTCCTAGATCACTCAATTGTCAGGACTATCACCATCCCACTAGCTGTCAGTGTGACAGAGCCAGTGTGTTTTATGAGGTCTCTAGAAAGCTCTTTTGCAGCTGGAGAGGTAACAAGAGTCAAAAGCCTTCAGCACCATGCCGTTGCTGTAAAAAGTCTGGAATTTGTGAATCCCCTAAAGTGTCGTTGGGAAGCCTGTAGATCCTCAATTCACACGTTAAGAACTAAGTTTCTGGATCCATGAGCAGAAGGAGGATTGAGATCTTAGATAAGTGTAAAAAGTGTCTTTACTTTTGCTTACTTCTAACAGGACTTTGTCATTTTTTATTACCAATACAGATAAACCAAAACAGTCAGGAATGCAGTAACTTTGTTACCAATAGGAAATCACAGATAGGTCCCTAGCATATTAAGTTATTATAGATATCTTGATACTTTTAAATTAGGACAGTCATCGTAACTGATGCTGGATATTAATCATCTTTTAAAGAGGTATACATGTTAATGTTTTATAAATTAGAATTATTTTGTCTTATATTTTATGCATTTAAGGACATTATTATTTTGAGACTAGGGCAGTAGCACATGCAGGGGTGTGAGTGCCTCACCATTTCAAAGCTTCTGGCTTATTGTCCTCGTGGAAGTGGATTTGCTGGAGAACTGGTAGTATTACTGAGATCCTGAAAAGTCTGTGTAAGGAGCTAATTAAGGCATGTGGTGTCGAGAGGCAGGGTGTGGTATAGGCTGCATCACTGTGTTGTTTTCATATGGGGTCTGTAATGAAGTGTGTGGTTGTCTGAGTCTGTGTCGGGGAACGTGGTTCATGCTTTGTCATTATTCTAAGGCAGCCTTTAACACTGTGCTGTCGAGCTGGACATCAGACAATTGCCTACTGGTGTGGGTAATTATCCATGCTTTTTTCTTAGAGAGTCAGAAATTGCCCTCTCTAACCTGAGCCAAGAAACGAGTGAATGAGGAATATCCAGGCTTTCCTTGCACTAGTGTGAATGAGCTAGTTGGCATTTTTCAGAATCATTTGAGAGGCAGATTAGGAAATGATTCTGAAGGAACTTAGCCCTGACCTTTGGGTCTCATTCTTCATTCTCATTTTATCTTTGTGGATACTCTTTGAAATATAAATTCTTAAAATATATGACAATATAATAAGCAGAGCATTGTTTTAGTAATCAGGTGACATTGTTCTTGTTCTGCCTTTAATAGCTGTGGGGTCCTGGGCTAACATTCCAGTAGCCATATCCTAGTATCTGTATTAAGTACCACAGAACTTCCCCAATGCAAATGTTCTAGGAATTTGGGGGTGTGACAACTTAGTATAATTAACCGTGTACTGAGTATGTGTCAAGTATTTATTGGGCTTGAGGGGTTTGTCAGAGAATGATATGTGCTCCCAGATCATAAGAGGTTTACAGTCTAGATTTTCACCAGCAAGTGAAGATTTAGGCAGAACGAGTTTGCCAGGAGTAGATCGCTAACAATTTAAGGAAAGTGAAAATGGGGTTTTTAAGCAAAAGCCTTTCCTACTTTATATAGTTATTTCATAGTCACTTAGTATCACTAACCACTCTTGGTGTTAGTTGACGCATAGAAACGAGTGGTCCTTGATTATCTTCTTGTAATAAAAAGGAATTCACCTATACTCTGCCTTGTCCCAAAGGAACATGGATATTCATGAAGTGAGAAGATACAACTATGTACAAAGTGGTAGGGGCTATAGCAGAGTACATTCTGTGTTTTGTGGCATGCGGAGGAAGGCGCAGCTGAGCCAGTTGGGTGTCAGGACAGCAGGGCATGCTTCATGGGAAGTGAGGGACTCGAGGGCCGAGCAGGGGTTTCCAAGGTGGAGAATGAGAGCATGCTAGCAGGCCGTGGTTTGGAATCTGGTCTGGTGCATCAGGCTGTTTCAAATGTTGGCTGTCTGGGCTGGAAAAACTTCATTTTGTGAATGTGCAACTACAGTGAGATGTTAATGATGAGGCATTACAGGTTTTGCTTTTGGATGTAGTGTCTTATTTGTAGCCTTTCCTCCAATGTGTATATTTATATTTTCTATGTGTATTTTAGAAAGAACACCCAGGTTAATGCCTGATAAAGGAAGCATGTATTACCCACGAGTGCAGCATTACCGAGAGCTTCTTGACTCCTTGCCAATGGATGCTTACACACATGGCTGCATTTTACATCCTGAACTCACTGTGGATTCCATGATCCCTGCTTATGCAACCACAAGGATTCGCAGTATGTAAAACTCTTATAATCTGGGGATTGATTGTACCTGAAGTTTCTTATCATTTTGACACTTGACATATCTTCTGGTCACTGAGAGAGGATTGGGAAATAGGATTGTCGAGTTTGTTTCATGACTGTGCATGGGTCTGCATCAATTTAATAACTTGTCAGGTCAGTCTGTTCCTCCGCCATCTCACTAGATACATAGTATCTAGTAGGCCTAATGTGTTAGCATTTGCTTTTGAGGCCAGACTTGGATAAAACTTAGAAAAGTGACTGATGGAAAGGTAGAGAATGTTCTCCACATGTTCTCAAACAGATTGACTGACTGGAAGTCAGAATAGCTGGTACCTTCTTGGGTACATGGGCAACTGGGTTCACATTCCTGGTCCTTAATTGTTGTTTCATGATGGGGGAAGCTGGACTAGAGGATGTCTAGCCATCACCTCTGCTGGGTGACTGGAGATTTTTCTGAGATTGAGAAATTCTTCCTACTTCCAGCCAGGAGGATCTGTAGGGTCCACATGTGAGTGTGAGCAGAAGAGAGTGTGTTCTGCAGGATGGTTGGCTCTGTTTAGGAGGACAGAGTGGCACTGGTCTTACTTGGGAGTGTCTGGAGACACTCAGTCCCGAGTCTTCTAAACCCAGAAGCCATGGTTTTCTCTTACATGAAGTCTTACCTTGTTGTCTCATTTCTTCTTCTCCTTCCTTTTTGATACCTTTTTATTCACCCATCTCTTCTTTCCTTTGTCTTCTTCCCTCTCTTCTCCCCTTCCCTATTTCCTCTCCTCTTCTCTCCCCTGCCCTCTCCTCCTCCTCCTCTCTTTCCGTGTACTATTCTCTCTTTGCTTCCTAAGTATTTAGAATGTGATTTGAAACACAGCCTCTGACTACAGCTTTATCACCTATAGTTAACATTATTTTCAAAACCAGGTTTCCTTTCCTTTCATCAGAGAAAGTGGAAGAGCCACGGAAAGGTAAGGCAGTTCAGTGGCACAGAACTCAAAGGTGTCAAGCCTTGCTGTAGCTGCACACAGAAGATGCTCAGGAAGTCTTCGGACTGTGATAGGTGTGTTCTAGCTTCATTTTAAATGGGGAAACTGAGGCAGACAAAGTATGTCCAAGATAGCAGCAGGCTACCAGTCACAAAGCTCATAGTCTCATCAAGGTGTGTCCCCACATCTCCCTATGTCTGTGACATGAGGGGGAAATATTTTTCCATTTCAAAAATATTTTTATTTTCAGGCCAGATTGGTAACACAGAGTCGGAACTGAAGAAACTTGCTGAAGAAAACCCTGACTTACAAGAGGCATACATTGCCAAACAGAAGCGGCTTAAGGTAAGTGACCAGGCTGGCTCTACTTCACATCACTGTATTCTTTCTGGAAAAGAAGAATGCTGTTTCTAGACTACCCTTTACTGTTGTAGATCATTGGTGCATGTGATACCTGTGGCCTGTGCTCTGACTTTAGAAAGACTTCTGAATCTATTATAGCAGCATGTGAGCCTAGAGGATCATGTGCTTCCAGGGAAGCCTGGGCTACAAAGTGAGATACTGTCTCAGATACTCCCAAACAAAAACAAACTTCCTAACAAAAAAAAAAAAAAGAAAGATAATGAAAAAAAAGAACTTTCTTTATTATATATTTGATAGTCGGACCCAGTGATAATTATCTGATAAGCAGATACTGAGCATGCTGGTTGCCATGGAGGTGACAAATGTAAGTTTCAGTTAATATAATACAGGAATATCTCATAGCAGGTAGTAAGCCATTTTAAGGCCTCCATGTATTAGCTGACTTGCTGTACCCATCATAAGGATCATCAGTAATAGCCTCTCATTTTCTATTGGTTCTTTGCCCATGCCTAGGCAACACATGGAAGCTTTTCCCTTATCACACGTAGCAAATGGCACTTCCCACTCTCCCTCAACTTCCTACCTTCCTTATCCTCTCTTAGCTAAATGGGCTCAGAGTACATGCTTCCATAGTTACCTTTCTTACCTTCCAAAATCACATTTAGACTTCTTATATTCCTTCTCCTTTTGGTGTGTGCATGTGTTTCTGCACATTGAGGCCAGAGGGAAGCATTAGGACCTTCTTCCCCTTATTTTTGAGACAAGTTCTCCTATTGACTTGAGACTCACTGGTTTGGCTAGGCAGGCTGGTCAGTGAGGTCCAGGGGTCTGCCTGTCTCTGCTTCTTCAAGATGGGGTTACAGATTCGCGCCATCACTCCTAGCTTTTTAAAAACAGAATCTGAAACCCAAACTCTGGTCATCATGCTTTCAAGACAAGCGTTTTACAGGCAGAGCTACCTCCCTCCAGTGAGACCTTCTGCTTTTTTCTTGCTTCTTTCATTAGTCACCTGAGACTTCTCAGCTTCTATTCTTGAGTTGAGTGCTAGAGGAGAATCTTCATGGTTCTCACGTTGTTTGTCCTTACTGGTTCACTGAGGACTCTTAGGAGTTGCCAGTAAGTACTGCGTCTGCTGCTGAGGTGATCTCACAGTTGGAGTAGTTCCTCATTTTTCTCTGACTTTACAAAGGTATTCCATATCTCACCATTGTCTAAAATAAACAGATTTTAATTTTAAAAATGTGTACATATGTGCATATAAATCTCCTTTGTGCTATATAGTTTTGTTGCTATTGTTAGCAGGCATAAATAGCTTCTTTTTTGGGTTGTTAATTAGTCAAAGCTGCTTGATCATGACAATGTCAAATACTTGAAGAAAATTCTTGATGAGTTGGAGAAGGTCTTGGATCAGGTGGAAACTGAGTTACAAAGAAGAAATGAAGAAACTCCAGGTAGGTTTTCATTGGCTTTCTTTTTACTGAAACACTAGGGGCATTTGTAGGAACATTCTTAGATCTTACTAAACATGTTCTGTAATCTGTTTCTGTGGTTTTTGTTTTTCACAGGCAGGTTAAATACATTATTTCATGCAGAACTCTAGCGTCTAATTGTAATCCAGTTTGTATCTATGAGAAATATGACTCTGAAAAGGGTTCTGCACCTTTTAAATGATGATTGGAAGGTGCCTACTGACCCAGCTCCACAAATCAGCAAATATAGTAGTCTGGTTGAATAACCTGAGTAATTGCTTGAATGCCCACGCCAGGTTTTTCTTCACTTAAGGAGATAGTTTGAATTTAGAGTTAAGTAAGAGTGAGCAAGTGAGGATCTACTAGGTTTCCGAACACCTGTAGATTGCATCTGTGAGCTGCAACAGTCAGCCACTTTCCATATTCATACATGAGGCCATTCATGCATCTTTACTGAAGACAGTTGAAGATGCTGTTAACCAGAAACTTCTTTCACAACAGGGACACAGCTGTGGTTTGATGGCTCTTCACCTGTCATCCCAGTACTTATAAGGCTGAGACAAAGGCATTGGCATCAGTTCAAGGCCTTCAAGGGCTAGAGAGTAAGCCCTTGTCTCAGAAAAACTCTACAGACAGAGAAATGCATAAAAACAAAGAATGACCCCCTTCCACTTTAAGGAAATGTAACTATTCTGTCTCCACAGGGGTTGGTTAGTTTCAGGAGTCACTGAGGATACCATAGTCCATGGATGGCCAGGTCCTTTATGTAAAATGATTTGGTATTTGCATGTCCTCCTATATACTTGAAGTTATTCTTGATTACTTTTAATACACAATATAATGTGAAAATCATGCAAATAGCTTTTATACTGTGTTGTATAAGGGATTATAACAAGAAACCAAGTCAGTACTTGCTCGGTAAAAATGTAGTGTTCTTTCTTAAGTGCTTTTGATCCTGCACATGCAGTTATTGGTATGGAAGGTATACATAGACAGAAGTAGTGGCCTCTGAGTGATGTTTCAAACATAACTGTATGAATCTTTCTAAAGCACTCTGGTTGATTTCCTAAACCAGAAGTAAGTATGAGCCTGTCAGTTCCTCTGGATTGTAGGCACTTAACCTTCTGAGCCCTTTACAAATGATAGAAAGTCCTTGAGCTTGAGTAGTTCCAAGTTTACTGAAGAACTTTTGTGGCTGACAGATGTCAACCGAGTCTCTTTTAGTTTGGGATAAATTTGCATTACTGGTACCCAAGACAACACATGATCATCTTTTCCTTAGGGCTAAAACTGCAAATGGGAGCTGAGGTCTGTCTGTGTAGTATTTGTCCCTAATTCTCAGTTCTCTTTCTCTGATTAGAAGAGGGCCACCAGCCTTGGCTCTGTGGAGAATCCTTCACCCTGGCAGATGTCTCGCTGGCTGTCACGTTGCATCGACTGAAGTTCTTGGGGTTTGCACGGAGGAACTGGGGAAATGGAAAGAGACCCAACTTGGAAACCTATTATGAGCGTGTCTTGAAAAGAAAAACATTTAACAAGGTTTTAGGACATGTCAACAATATATTAATCTCTGCTGTGCTGCCAACAGCATTCCGGGTGGCCAAGAAAAGGGCCCCAAAAGTTCTTGGCACCACCCTTGTGGTTGGTTTGCTTGCAGGAATGGGATATTTTGCATTTATGCTTTTCAGAAGGAGACTTGGCAGTATGATATTAGCGCTTAGACCCAGACCAAATTATTTCTAGGTTTGTTGGGCTCTGTGGTAGCAGCTCATCCAACCATTCCACTAGACCCTCATCCACTCTTCCAGACCCAGTGAGGACTTATCCTGGGCAACTAGTAGAAAGCATAGTTTACATTACTCTTTGGGGAGTTCACGTGGGGAGAGGAGCTAATGACATCTTTTCTTCCTTCCTTCCTTCCTTCCTTCCTTCCTTCCTTCCTTCCTTCCTTCCTTCCTTCCTTCCTTCCTTCCTTCCTCTCTCTCTCTCTTTCTTTCTCTTTCCTTTTTTCTTTTTCCTTTTTTTTTTAAATAGATAAGATGACTCATCTATCCCTAAAGCAAGCAAGTGAAAGGTCAAGACATGTAAATGCCGACAAGTGGGGAGCCGACCTTTAATGGGGACTGTCAGTTCATGTTCTCAGTTATTTTTTGAGTGGTCATAGTTAAGAACAGACAGTAATAATAACCAGTGACTGTTCATAGCACATCACCGGAGATTGCCTACTGTTCTGCGAGTTGAACAGTTACAAGCTCTTCCCCTGGAAGTCAGACGTCACCTTTATTACACATGACAGGGTTCAGACTCCAACAGGATGTAGTACTGCTTCTTCACCTTCCGCTAGCAGCTTCAGGCGTAGATTAGGGAGAGAATGGGAAAGGGAAGGAAGAAAGTGAGAGAACGAAGTACAGATAGGACAGGGTAGTAGACTGTAACTTCCAGTGGCCTCCATTGCTGCTCATGGCCGCCTGTCTCCTTGGGAAACTTCACATACAATGTCTTGTGCTCATGCCCACTCCTTAATTGAGAACTCTTAGGAGGAGAGGGCTGGGAAGTTATTGGGGATAGTGTACCAGGGGAACCCTACATATCACATACAAAACACCCCATTTGACCTCAATTATGAGTCACACAGGTTGAGTTAATAAGATTAAGTAATTTTGCACTTGACCATGGGATGCCTGTTGAAACATTTATGTCTATCATGGATATGAAAAAGGGATAGTAAGGTGATCCTTATGAGATATGGTCCTGTAGACTCCTATGTTCAGTCCTGGGAGCCTTGGCCTCTACAGTTCTCTTTATGCATATAAGTAATATGTAGATGAATGTCTCAGGTAAATATCATGGCTTATCACTGGTAGTGGATACTTTGATGAGAGCCAAATATGCCCATTTTTATTTGAGATTCACAAATGTTTGGCCAGGCTTTGTGGTTTTTTTTTTTTTTTTTTTTTTTTGTGATTATCAACAAAGCCTTACAGAGAAAGAGGAAAGTCTAGATTAGCTGTTGACAGTTAATGTGGGAGAGATAAAATATATAGCTAGTGATGCCCATCCATATTCATCCATATATGTTCAAGTATTTGGGGATCATCTCAGTCCATATGGAAGGGAGAGTTCTAGCATGACCTAGGAACAGCCATGGTACTATGATGCATGATTTGTGCTCAGGAAAAACCTCCTATTGAAAGAAGGAGGCAATTTGTGTGGAGCTGACTGTTAAGGCCTTAGGAGAAGCTTTGGGAGTCTGATGGGAGGCTTGTCTAGAGACATGAACTCACATCGCAGTAAGTGATAAAAGCCTGTTTGGATGGCCCAGGTAGGCTATGCACACGGCCAAAGAGTGTACTGACTTTTTCATTAATAGAAAAATGTCATGACTAGCAAACAATGACTTTCTGATGCTAAAAACCATTATATAATTCCATTTTTATTCTATAATTCCATTTCATAATCAAGATGTACTAGAAAATAGAAAACCCTGATGAACTGGGTGTGCCCTGTTTATAAAAAGCACTAATAACACTCCATTGTGAACTCAAATCAATGATAATGAATATACTTGCAGCTTTTTATGCTGTTTTAATTTGCCCTTCATGTGTCATACAGAGTGTCTGAATTTGCTAAGTCATTGGTGTCATTGTATTTATAAAAGAGCCATAGAATTAATTGACTAGTAATTCAGATTTTTTTTTCAAGACAGGGTTTCTCTGTGTAGTTTTGGTGCCTATCCTGGATGGAACTCACTCTGTAGACCAGGCTGGCCTTGAACTCATAGAGATCCACCTGGCTCTGCTTCCCCAGTACTGGGATTAAAGGTGTGCGCCACCACCACCCAGCCGTAATTCAGAATTTTTTATGTCACTCTGCTAGAAATAAAAACTGAGGCACAAAAAAATGTAACAACGGGAATTTTGTAAAAAAACAATAACAAAAACAAACAAAACTACAAAGGGTATTTTTACCTGTGAAAGGATTATTAAAGACTGACTTTTCTTTCAGGATATGTTATTACGGGATCAGGAAATCACTGGGAAACATCTTTAATTTTCTTATGCAGTTTATCTGGAGGCAGATGTGTATCCATGTTCAGGGTGAAGCATCCTAGCTTCTAATTGCTTTAAAAACATTTGTCTAGTGATAGCACCCTGACCACTAGATGTCGCTGTTCACCCAGTAGTCTAAGATTGTGTTCCATTAGGCTCAGCATGTCTGTAAGGTTTCAAGTGAAGATAAACACTAATGACCTTAGTTTCTGGAGTGAGGGCATCTTCATCAAGATTATCCATCTGTGAAAGAGCTTGAGGCAAATGCAGTATTGATTTCTTATGCCTTCTGAGTGATGACAGCACTGTATGATGTCAAACTAAGGCGGTGCACAGCCACTGTTAGCCGGAGAGAAACGTTAATGCATCTTCTTCAGGATCATTGGTAACTGGCGAATGTGCTTCTCATGTAAAAAAAAAAAAAAAATAGTATAAATACCACACTTAGAAAGTGCCTGAGGCACTAAAATGTTATGTTATCTATTTCCGTCTTCACACACATGTATACTATTTTATTGTTACTGTCATTATATGCCTTTTGGTTCTCAAAACTTGTGAACTGCTTGCTCGAATTTTAGTAATTATTGCTATTGATGTCAAAGTTGTAGATGGTATTGTTGACTGTCATGGAAAAATTAAGATATTATTCTGTCTGTAAGGTCAATAAAGTAATTTGAAAATAAATGTTTTCTGGGACACAAAGAACTAATTAAAAATCATTTAAAATTACATATTTTCACTTAAAAGATGAAAGCATCTGGAGTGGGGATGTCGCTCAGGAGTGGAGCACTTGTCAACATAAGGAAGGCTTGGATTCGATCCCAGCACTGAAAAAGGAAGAAAACAAAAACTGTTAGAGGTAATTAGAGGACAATAGGCAGTGCAGTTTTCAAGACATACATTTCTAAGTCACTGAGTCCATTTAAATACACAGATTATGGCTAAACTGAGTGGAAGTATTGGAGAAATTATTTTGGCCACTCCACGTAGTTAAAAGGATATTTATTTAATGGCGTAACTCACAAATTAAGTAATGGGTAGGTCGCAGGGTCTGGGGAAGGTGTTACGCAGTCCAGCGGTGTTCTCCGGAGCTCTGCACAATCCACCTTCACCGTTCAGCGTCCCGGCACCGAGAGAGCACACAGAGAGAGCGCTGGCCCATCCAGCTCTCGGGTCCCCTCGCCCCGCCTTGTAGGCGTGACAGTTGCCAGAGTCTCAATGGGGGTTGGAACTTCCAGATCCAAGCCGGAATGGCTACCCACTACATGGAAGCCTAAAGAGTAACATTGATCTTGGCTATTAAAGTAGGTCTTTTGCAGCTGGGCCCTTAGATCACATCCATGTGAACATGGAGTGTTTAGTAGGTTTCGTGTATTGCTCTCAGGATAATTTATGTTTTGACACATACTTCTCTTCCTTTAATTTGGTATGGATTGTGAATATACAAATTTGCCACCTGCATTTCTAACCTCAGCAAGCCTAGCTATCGTTTTAAATATCAAGTAGAAATTGAGTGCTATTTTATTGTTACCCCGACTCAAGCAAATTAGGCAGAAATCTCATTGTCCTTATCTTCCTTGAGTTCCGAAACAAAGCAAAAGTCAATACCCATGGAAAGCCAAGTGAATGTGTAACTCATCTCAGGGAAGAAAAAGACACCACAGTTAAAAAAAAAAAAGCCAATTAATGCGATAGAAATAGTGTTTAGATTTACGTTGCATATTATTTATATCAAATGTTGGCCATTTATTTTATCTGCACTAATGTCAGAATATCTTGCTTCCCAAATGCTTCCAAACAGTAGTTTTAGTAGGTAAGGCAGTGGGTTCTAAAGCAATTGAGTAAATTGAATAGAGTGCAAGGATAGTAGTTTGTTTTAATTATTTGTTACATTATAAGAATGAAACGAGCCGGGCGGTGGTGGCGCACGCCTTTAATCCCAGCACTCGGGAGGCAGAGCCAGGCGGATCTCTGTAAGTTCGAGGCCAGCCTGGGCTACCAAGTGAGTCCCAGGAAAGGCGCAAAGCTACACAGAGAAACCCTGTCTCGAAAAAGGAAAAAAAAGAAAAAAAAAAAAAAAGAATGAAACGAGATGAAGAGGAAGGACTCACTGGAGAGTTAGATAGGCATCACACCCAGGAAAGCTGTCTCCTATGTCACTGATGTGAGCTGAAGCCTGGATTCTGAGGACGGAGGACTGAAGAACAGCTGAGAATGTAAAGGGAGTGAAATAGAACAGACTCTCTGGAAGGAGATGGCAGAGCCATGTAGACCTTGAGACCAAATACACATGTGATGGCCAGTGATAGACTCCTGTGTAAGTGGAGGGGTTATCTCATTCCCAGGTGCCTGGTCAGAAACCACATGGGGGAGCTTGTATATGTTTTGTCTTTAGCTTTTACTCATCACTGAAGCATCGGCTCCTCAATTACAGCATTATTGTGGTGTTAAACTTCATTGTAGGGCTGGAGAGATGGCTCAGCGGTTAAGAGCTGCTCATCCAGAGGTCCTGAGTTCAATTCCCAGCAACCACATGGTGGCTCACAACCATCAATAGTGAGATCTGGTGCCCTCTTCTAACACACAGGCATACTTATACATAATAAATAAATAAATAAATAAATAAATAAATAAATAAATAAATAAATCTTAAAAAAAACTTCAGTGTAAGAAGTCAGAAGTATGGGTGAAAATGTGAAATTGTAAGTGAAATATAAGGGTTTCCATGCTAAGGGAAAAACCACATTATGCTTCAATACCAATCAGGTCATTTTGGGGGGCGGTGGACATTGTGTATTTGTATAGATTTTTTAAATATGAGATTAAATTACATTTTGAATATAAGGATTTGATAGTCAATAAAGTAATTCATGTAATCATTAAACACTTGCTATGTTAATAAGCATATGACATTTGCAGACATTCTGCATTTGTTATTTTAGTTTGTAAAGCATTTTTTATTAAGATGACTGAAAGCTGATTGTAAAAATGGCCTCAAAGTCCATCTTTGACATGCTTCCTCCTCATCATTGTAAAAATGACCTCAAAGTTTATTCTTGACATACTTCCTCCAGCATTGTAAAAGTGGCCTCAACGTCCATCCTTGTTGACATACTTTCTCCAACAATGCCACCTCCTAAACTTACCCTACAGTGTCACCAACTGGGGACCAAGTACTTAGATACCTGAGAATATAGGGGACATCTCCATTAGACAAGCACATGGATCAAACTGAGGCCCTTCTGCTCAGCAGCTAGGCACTCGACTGACTTGACTACCCTCCAGCCCCTGTACACTCTCTGTTTCCCACATTCCTTATGATTTCTTCCCCTCTCAGGATCAGTTTTCTAGTTTTGTGACCTACAATCGCAAATATAAAGTCCACAGCCCCAATTTTAAATTTAAGTTTTGATGTGTGACTTATTTAACAACAATTTTTCAGTTGCATCCATTAAGAAATTTAATTTGTAGTAATATGTTTTTTCTTCAAAGAAGACTCAAGGCCATTGATACGTTGATGATTTATCCATATAGGAAGTAAGTAATCAAAGCTCTAGACACACTTTTCAGAAAATGGAATGGAATGCCTCCAAAATTATTTTCTAAGACCAGTGTAACCCTGTTGTCAAAGTCTAAGAGATGAATAAGAGAAAAAAATCAGAGCCTAAATATCCCTCATGAACACTTTTTTTTTTCTTTTTTTTTTGTTTGTATTTTGGGACTAACAGAAACTACTAGATAGTACTAAGAAAAAGAAAAGCTCCACCGGATGGGAGACAATATTTATAACATATAAATATAGTCATAATTGTAGTCATAATATACATAATAACAATAAAAATGGATTCAAAACTTAAGACATGCTGAATGACAGTGGCACACACCTTTAATCCCAGCACTCGGGGAGGCAGAGCCAGATAGATCTCTGAGTTCAAGGCCAGCCTGATCTACAGAGCGAGATCCAGGACAGGCACCAAAACAACGCAGAGAAACCCTGTCTTGAAAAACAAAACAAACAAAAGAAAACCACCAAAAATAAAAAAAAAAAAACTTTAACACATTTTGCAAAAACGTGGAAAGATGCTTGGCCTCAATTCATCAAACAAATGAGATAATTGGATTCAACTGGAAATCACTTATATCAAAATTATACCAATATAGTAACTATTAATATGATACTCTAAGCCAAGATCCATTATCATACAAAGGGTTAAATTTTGATACCAGTAATAATGATTATTGTCAAGAATATTGCACAACTGGAACTTATAAAATTTTGGGGGGAAGGTAAAATTTATATCAATCTTCGAAAAGTTTCGCAGGTCCTTAGAAGGGTAAAATATTCTTGATGTGACCTAAAAGCTTTATTCTTACTATTTATCCCATGGGAATGATTTTCGTATTGTAAACAATAGCTAATAATTAGAAAGTACTTATATATAACATAGATGAGCAAATTATTCTATTTATACAACGGGCCAATATACTTCAGCAAAAGAAACTATTGATGTATTAGTACAAACTAATGTATGTATACATTATTATTGCTGAATTTAAATACAGCATCTGAGAGAGGCAATGAGCTCACACATGGTATTCAAATTTAAGGGTAATCATTAGTGCCTCATAACTCTGAACCAGTCCTGTGTCTGATGAGTGAGAGTCACTCCCAATAAGTGTATCAACACTATTTTAGCAAAATGCGAACTGATGGTGAAAATTTGTGCTGGTCAGTGGGACTGAATTGACTTCCTATCCACTCTCTAGGGACTGACCTTACCACGGGAATCCAGGGCATTCTCAAAGGTGCAGCTTCTGGAGTTCCCAAGGACACCTGTTGGGTCCACATGAAAGCTCTAGGATTAGAGAATATTCAAAATGAAAAACAGGGCCAGGGACCATGCAGCTCTTGGTCTCAGCTAAGGGTTTTCTTTGGGTGGCATTGCTGGTCCTGGCCAGCCCTAGCACATGAGACAGAAAATTTTAAATATGTCCCAAAATCCAGTGTCCTAGTTAGGGTTATTGTTGCTATGATAAAACACCATGACCAGGGCAACTTGGGAAAGAAAGGGTTTATTTGGTTTTTCACTTCCATATCACTGTTTATTATCAAAGGAATTCAGGACAGGAACTCAAGCAGGGCAGGAACTTGGAGGTAGAAGCTGATGCAGAGGCCATGGAGGAATGCTTCTTACTGGCTTGCTCCTTATATTGCTCACCCTGCTTTCTTATGGAACCCAGGAGCACCAGTTCATGATTACCCCACCCACAATGGGCTAGGCCCTCCCACACCAATCACTAATGAAGAAAATGCCTTACAGGCTTGCCTATAGCCATATCTTATGAGACATTTTCTAAATGAAGGTTCCCTCCTCCCAGGTGACTTTAGCTTGCGTCAGGTTAACATAAACCCATCCATCATACTCAGCAGACCCCCTCTCTTCAGGAAGGACACCTTGCTTGATTTCTTGGGTCCAAAGCAATATCTGTAGGGGAAGGGTTGAGAAGTTCAGTAGTGTTTATTCCATTAGGCCAAGCTCAACAATGGAAGATACTGTCATCAAACTAGTACTGGTGTTATCATGTTAGTATCAGTTCCTGAAGAGTCTGGGCTCCATTAGGCCAGCTGGAAGCACTTAACTGATGGAGGAAAGCTATTTATAATTAACAACATGAAGAGAAAT